CGCAATTTGCCGAGGGTTTGCACTTTAGTGCTTTTCATGTTATAGATGTAATGTTTGTTGTTTTTACTACATAAATTGTAACATACGATGTATACATGAGAACTGATATGGTGGTTATTCACACTTTTCCATAGCCACCCACATTCAGAATGGCAAAACACATACTAGAAGTAAAATCTTCAGAAGTTTGGTAAAAACAAGGAATTGTGTATTGGCTCGAAGCCATCACAAAACTTAATGCATGGCTTGTGAGAGAAACCAAGAGGTGGCTCTGTGGTGAAGATCATAACATCACTAAGACTAACTTGAAACTTTTCACCCTTGACGTCCACAGAAGTTTGGTAAAAAGAAGGAATTGTGTATTGGCTCGAAGCCATCACAAAACTTAATGCATGGCTTGTGAGAGAAACCAAGAGGTGGCTCTGTGGTGAAGATCATAACATCACTAAGACTAACTTGAAACTTTTCACCCTTGACGTCCACATCTCCTTGTGCTCCTATTAGAGGTATATAATGTAGCTAATTAGCTAGGGTATAATAGTGATACTTACGTTCAATGGTCTGTAGGAAGTGAACCCACAGCATAACTGTAGCTTCCTCAGCGACTCTGTTGTTACTACCATCAGGAGAGAAGCAGATGGTAAATGCATCATACATGTGTAGCGCTCCGGCTTACCAGATAATGAGTATATACGGATACATAATTGTACACGACAGAGAAGGACTCGGAGACTGACAAAAATGAAAATGCGCACTTTATTTATAGTCTAATCTCTAAATGATGCACACCAATTGTCATAGTTCGTCACACTTCCTCGCCCTTAAGGAGCTCGTCCTCAAGAGTCCTGTTTCAGGTTCAGACGCGGCCCTTGCTTTCTCCAGTGCTTTTGTAGGTTTGTCCCTCACGTCTCTGGCTACTGCTGGTCCAGCTGTTGGAATGTCTCCCGGCATCAGCTCCTGGTCGGGGCCAGGATACCCTTTAGGGCATCTTCTCAACCTGTTAAGGGCTACTCAAGCGGTTGCTTGTTGCGGTCGATCCACTAGTCGAATGTCCGCACCATTGTCGTAGAGGTTGACAATCCTATAGGGACCACGGAATGGACGAGCAAACTTGTGTGCTTTACCCTGCTTGGCCGATGGTACATGAAGGAACACCTGTTCTCCCACACGGAGTGACACAGGCTGGGCATGGCGATTGTAGTTTCTTTGTTGCTGCAAACTGGAACCACCACTCCAGGTCCGATCTGGCATCTCGGCACAGGCGCAGATGATGGTGAGGTCACTCTGCGAGCTTAGCCAAGTCGATTAGCCGATGCAGGAATGCCTGGCCTGATCTCACCACCTTGCAAGCATGGTACAGGCTGTCAATGATTGACTGCAATCCGCGTTTCGTACATGCCTTCTTGCCCCTCCACTGCTGCATGAGGCCCTGTAGCAGTGCGAGTTTGTCTTAGTCTAAGTTCCATGGCTAGCGAATCTATCTCGATTCCCATGAATGTAAGAGCTGATGTCTGACCGTCCGACTTGCTCTCTTCTATCGGGACACCCGCTTCTCTTCAGACTTGAAGTATAGTCTGCACGTTCCTTGCACACTCCTCGGGCAAGGGGCTGCCCAAGCTGATGAAGTAGTCTATGTAATGGTCAACAAAGGACACTCCCCTCGCCTGCATAATCCACTGCAGTGCGTCTGCTACAGTGGAGAATATTAGTGGCGCTGACCTGAAGCCGAAGGGAAGAGCCTTGTCTACATAGACTGACACTTGCCATAGCATGCCCAAGAGATGTCAGTCGCTTGGGTGGACTGGTACCATCCTGTATGCATCCATTTTGGCCAGCAAGGTACCTCTCCCCATCCCTACCACTCTGGCCGCAATTTGGTCCACGGACGTGTAAGATGGGCTGCAGGCCTCATTGTCCACTACGTCATTGATGCTGGCACCCTCTGGCACTGATAAGTTGACTATTAGTCTCCACTTCCCTGGCTTGTTCTTCTTCGGGATTATTCAGATAGGGCTACAATGAACTCCTGCCCTCCTTTGTTAGCTTCACCAGTCGGTTCAGTTGCAGTTCCTCGCTTAGGTATTGGTCCACGACCTCTGGATTGGACATGGCATGTTGCTCCCACTCTGCCAAAGGACTGCTTTGTCATAGCGAAAGCAAATCCTGAACCCTTGCTCCAGACCGTCTAGTATGTACTTACCGAAATCCTGGTCAAGGTGTGTGGCCAAGGCTGACCTCCACATGCTTAGCTTTACAGGGTCTCCAGATGAGCCAGATTGGCCGGTAGTACTTTCTTATGGAGAGGTCTGCACCTGTTTAGCTCCTGCAGCTGCTGCATGTACTCATACCTAACGCCTTCAGCTGGCTGGAGGTGGGGCTGTTTCTGCCTCGACTATGGAGATTACAATGGTCAGCACTAGCCTAAGCTGACCCTGCCGGCGCCGGCCGGCCTAGACCTGAGGGGTCCCCTTCATTTGTTCGGCCATTGGCTTCTTGCGTGATGCAAGAAACACACTTGCACTGATCAACGAACCTGCAGTCCTCCACTGTACTGATTGAACCACTTGCAGATCTGAGGGAGACTGTGAGGGGCAGGCCGCTTCCTGGGAGCCAGCTGGGATGTCTCCAGTGGCCTCTTCCATGAGGGAAGGCCAGGAGTGGCACTGTTTGCTTAGGCTTCGCATTACACACACGTCAGAGCCATGGTCAATATGGAGTGGAATTAGTGCCACTATTCATCACGGCCCATTCCGAGACATTTGCCACGGCAATTGCCTAGGCAAAGTAACATGCGGGACATTTTCTCCGGCAGCAACCGGCGCACAAGAACAACAGAAAGTGCCATTATTATGTCTCGGTTGGGCTAGGGGCTGGGCTCATTTGGGGGCGTAACCGCGTGCGGGTAAGTCTCATACTCAGACCCAGAACGAGACTACGCGGAAAGTGGGAGCTTGCCGGGCCAATTGCCGCGGCAACTAAGACAGAATGATGGCACTTTCTATTGTTCTTGTGCGCCGGTTGCCGCTGGAGAAAATGTCCCACATGTTACTTTGCCTAGGCAATTGCCGCGGCAAATGTCCCGGAATGACAGTTATGAATACTGGCACTAATTCCACTCCATTCGTGAAGCATTTGGTTTATATACTCGGTTCCACTTTAGACCAGTCCCTGCGCTCACTGTCTGCTGCCTCCTGCCGAAAAATTTGGTCGTAGACCACCCAAGGAGGCCAGCTGTACTTACAACTCGCTTTGGCTATAATAATGTGCAAGCAATGATTTGGTTCGCCCTGGATCGTGCTCGGTCACCACTGCCATGTACACAGCGAAACATTGAATCCATGTCGCCAGGTCAAGAATTATGTTCCTGGTATATACCTGCCAGTTCCTCTGCACGGATGACCATTATGTGTATGTTATTATGGCAGGGGCCTAACACGCCCCTAGCGGGAGACAGCTCAGAGAAGTCAACGTACTGCCCCGAGATAATGCGGACCGTCTTTTTGGGAAGCGAGGGGAGACCCGTCCCCACCGACACCAACTTAGACTACGCAGTCACTGTTGAGGTGTCGACGTCCCCTGAGTGACTCAGAGCCTTAGCTGCATCTTTGCTGCTCCCAGCCTCGCCTGCAGGCATTATAGCTTTGGCACACTGCTGCAGGTCCTTGAGCAAGCTCTCTGGTGGAAGCCTGCCCAACTGAACACCTGTGCAATGGGAACACAGTGGATCATGGCTAGCCTGCGCCTAAGCTAAGCCGTGCTATGAGTCCGATCAGCACACTGCTCTGTGCTGACCCCCACTCCTGCCCGCCACTCAGCCTAGCCGTGCTGTGCCTGACACCTGCCTGCACGTGCTGCTCACACAGCTGCGGCCACCCCCTGGCTGCCAGAGCCACTCCGGACCGCGAGCACGCAGCTGCATGCTCGGTCACCTATATTACGAGCATGTTCCCCATTGATCACACCCGCTGGGTGGAAGGGGATAGGGGAAGTAGAGAAGGGAGGCATGCCTGTTTCTGGGGGTGACTGGCTCCCGCCCTGGAGAGCTGTCAACATATGCTGCGCGATCTGGGCAGCAGCATCCTCCGGGGGGTTTCGGTGTCGGCCGGTTCCACCATCGCTGATAAAACAGAGGAAAACTGCTGCTCCACGCCGTCGCCTGCTTGAGACTGTTTCGCCTGAACGTGAGGTCACGGACTGCGCATGCTCCCTCGCGTAGGCACAGCGCCACTGAGGCTCATTGTTAATCCTAACGTATTAAACTGCATTGAAACACTCAAAGTTAGCTAAGTGTCTTATAAATGTTTTATTTTTGGTCACATCACTTCTTCGGGGGCCTTCCTGTCTTGCCAATTCGACCTCGAGAGTAGGGACAATATAATGCCTGTCACGAGTGACTACGTTAGTTTGCATGGTGTTGCAAGTTGTGGAGCAGAGACAGTTTGCCAGTTGTGTTGTGGCCAAACTCTACACACCGCCTGAATGTGAGTAACGATGTTCTCAGTAAGTCACGTAGCCCCGTAGACATCCCTGCAAGCAATGCACACACGTATAGGCGATCGAGCATTGAAGCACGGCAAACCTGTCAGAAAAGTGGGCATTATCTGGTTAAGTGAACATTATGTGATTTAATGCACACTTTTCCACGCATCTGATTGGTCAGAAGTCATGTGACCAGTATTAAGAATGTGTAACAGCTCGAGACTCTTTTGCGCACAAATTTCTTGTATCACGTTTTACAAAATGCATAGATTTAGCTTGTAAACAGAGGCTTGCAACATCAAAAGTAGGAAGTATCTACTTCCTGTATAGATCATATACAAGGACTCAATATGCACACGTAGCATTGTCTGTATGACCTGTGGTTTAGTCTCTATTAATTAGCTTTAGAATGGTTTTTGGATTAATCACACCCTAAACCATGTGATTAATTGTTCATGCTCACTGACAAAATATGACACACTGTGTTTTACACCCGGAAAATGTTTGTGTTTTATTCACAGGCAAGTATCCTATACAGATGTTGGAGGCGCTTCTAATGATGTATATAAGTATTCCTGGGAAAATGAACTATGGCGTAAGTTGCAAAACCTCAGAATTACTCTCAGTCTACAGGGGCATCTTTGAGTACATAATATAAGATGATTTTTTCACTGCACACAATAAGGGTCTTGAGTGTAGTAGAGCTGGCCCGCGAACGCGAATGGCGAGAATGCGTAGACAGAACATGCGAAGCAGATGGCCAAGCAGATGGAAATCTTGCGATCAATGCTGGACCGCGAGACTTCGGCATGCACTGGCCACGACAGAGGAGGGCGGAGTCTGCCGTCCCACCCACCACCGCAGGATAAGATTGTGCCACGAAACTCACGGAAAGTGACGATATCCAGGTATTCTTAACGATGTTTCAGCAGTTGATGACACTCTACCACGTGGATGAAACTCAGTGGGTAGCAAAGCTGGCACCACAGCCTACTGGGCGGGTGCAGCTAGCGTATGCTGCAATGCCGACAGAGGATGCCTTCTCGTAGAAGGAGGTGAAGAAGACCATACTGAGATGCTATGAAATTAATGAAGAAACATATTGTCAACGATTCAGGGCTACGCGCCATAGGGTTGGTGAAGCGTATGTGGAGTTGGCCACACGTTTGGGAGACTTGTTCCGGAAATGGATATCAAACTGCAAGTCTATGGACGCTGTGGCAAAGAAGTTAGTGACAGAACAGCTTCTCAACACTATGCCTAACGACCTTTGCATTTGGATAAGCGAAAAGAAGCCCAAGACCTTCCGAGAAGCAGGACGGCAGGCAGATGACTATTTACTGGCGCAGAAGAGGACACAAAAACTGAAACGTCAGGGAGGACCAAGTAGTCGTGAATGTCTAGCCTACGGACAGCTAAGGCACTGGGCACGGAACTGCCCTAAAAAACTGTCTACAGAACAGACAAAAGAACCCCAATCTGTGCAGCCAGCTGCCCCGCCACAACAGAAGAGCACTCAAGATCAGCAGCAAAAAGACAAGAATGGACAGACCCGCTTGGAGGCTACAACTGTCAAGAGAGAGGGCATATTGCTCACCGATAGTGACAGGGTACTGCTAGGGTGGAGGTTTGGATGGTGGTGGAAGGGTGTGTGGAGGTGTGGAGAGTGGCGGAAAGGTGTACGGAGGTGTGGAGAGTGGTGGAAAGGTGTGTGGAGGTGTGGAGAGTGGTGGAAAGGTGTGTGGAGGTTTGGATGGTGGTGGAGGAGCAAGGACGAGTGGGGCCGTATCGATTAGCCGCCGTGGAATGGTCGAAGTAACTCCTATAAACGACATAATTGTCGACACGGGATGTGCACCAACACTGGTGGGAGAGCACTTAGTCCCCACAACAGAGAAAATTGCTCGGGATGCTATCACGCTGAGATGTGCTGACAGTGACACTGTCCTTTACCCCGTAGCCAAGGTACACCTGGTGGTAGGTGGGATCCTGCTTGTTGAGAAAGCTGCGCTCATCGCCTACTCCAAACCAACCCCTTGGCCATACACACACCAGGAGCTAGCGAAGTATGTGTGGTCACAAGAGCCAGGGCTAAGGAGTTGGAGAAAGATGAGTGCGACAGGTTCCGGCGAGAGGCAGTGAGCCAAGTATATACATCCAACCCCTAGAATCGGAGACAACAACAGGGGAGAATGCTCCTATTCCAATTGGTGCCTCACTACACGATGATCTCTTCATGCCCTACGCACCAAAACTCACAAAGAGAGCCGAACGGAAACTGCATGGTCGAGTGCAAAGGCCTACTCAGGATGACAGCGGTGAGAGAAACCTGTTTCCACTACCTTCAACCGGTGAGTTGAGGATAATGCAGGGGCAGGATGAATCACTCCAGGGACTCCATGAACTGGCTCACAGCCATGCCAACCCCAACTCGATACTGGTGGTCAATGGGCTTCTTTACCAGAGGTGGAAACCACGAAACCCCAGATATGAAAACGGTGGAGGACAAGTCGAATTTCCAATCACAACTGTTACGGGAACTCTACCGCATGCTGCACATTGATATGTTGCGTACCAGTCCCTACCACCCCCAGACTGATGGTTTAGTGGAGCGCTTTAACCAAACGCTTACCGAGAGTTTCCCCACGAGTCAACAAGATTCTCACCCTTTGAGCTGCTCTGGAAGTGATATCCGGGGACTACGAGAGCTGCTAAAAGAGTCGTGATGTGGTGTGAAGTGCAGCAGCCAGAATTTTTGTGTCGTATGTGCTCCTGATGTGAGAGAGGATGGAGAAAATGCAGTTAGAGGTTCGCGATAACATGCGAACAGCACAACAACATCAAAAGAAGTGGTATGATAAAGGAACCAGGGAGCGTTCCTTTCAACCTGGCCAACTTCGATACAACCTTCCAATCTCTTCCAGGGTGTACCACACTGGCCGAGCACCACATCCACCTCGCACGAACAACCCCGATTTGACAAACCCTATACAGGATATCCTTGCATTTCGAGACGAAGTCAACAGAGAGCTAGACGAAATGTTGCGCCATGGTAGTTTACTGAGAGGTCTACCAGTGACTGGGCATCTCCAATGGTGGTTATTCAAAAGAAGGACAAGTCACTTCATCTTTGTGTGGATTGCAGAAAATTGAACGTTGTTTCGCAGGCTGATGCCTACCCCATGCCATGCATGGACGACCTCGTAGACCAGGTGGGAAACGCCTATTATATACATCGCCACCCACCAGAGGTGGAAACCCACAAGCGCAGAAGAGGACCGACCCAAAACAGCATTCACGACCCCCAGAGGTCTCTTTCAGTTCACCAGAATGCTGTTCGGGTTGCAAGATGCACCTACCTAGGAGCTTCATTTGCAACATCTGGAGCCTGTTCTCCGGAGAGTCCGAGATGCAGGGCTAACAATAAAGAAAAGAAAATGCAAATTTGCTATGAGCTCCTGTGTTTCATCAAATCATCAAATGGACCCCGATTTGCGACACTGACTTGCAGGCTCTAAAGAGAGAGAGTTGTGCTCTCCACCAGTCCTACAGAGTCTCGACTTCACTAAGTCATTTAAGACAGAGCTGTAGGGGCTGTGTTGAGTCAGACTTGAAGCAATGGCCTGGATCATGCAGTTGCTTATTTCAGAAAAAAACTGCTACCACGGGAGGAAACCTTTTCCACAGTAGAAAAGAGTGCCTTGCAATCAAGTTCACAATACACGCTTTCAGCACCTATCTCACAGACCGAGCTTTCAACATTGAAACTGATCACCGCTCTCTGGAAAGGCTAGACTGAATCAAGCACAATAACTCTCGACTCACCAGATGGAGCTTGTTCCTACAATGGTTCACCTACAGTATTGAAAGGGAAGTGCCAATGCCAAAGCACAAGGGGTCTCACGGGCCTGGTGACTGCATCAAACAAGTTTCATGCCGATCAAGGGGGAGGGATGTGAGGGAGTAGACTTATCACGCATGCGTATGTAATTTTACTTACCTGTCATATGTACTGTGATTGGTTGGTAGGACGTGGGATGTCAGTCGGAGAATTTTTGTATCGCGTGTCAGTGTGTTTGTCACTGATCGTGGGTCGCGTCTGTGTGTGCCACAGTACGGTACTAGACTGCGCAGTGGCACCTTCACACTCGGGCATCAAAGTTGTCGGACGGATTTTCGCAGTTATCCATGCTAATAGTTCCGCCCATCAAATAGCGGTACCACGCATGTGCAGTTTGCCGAGTGTTTGCACTACCCTCGGCACACATGCACAGCAAGGGTTACGGTACTTGGTCCGTTTCTGTCTGTCTGTCTGTCTGTTACCACAGTTCTGTCTGTCTGTCCGTCCGGCCGTCTGTTACCGTATTTTCTGCCACCATGCGCAAGGAGACAACAAAAGAGTGATACCGATAGGTTCAGCACTACACTGGCTTGATGTTAAATTTGGCGATGTTCGTAAAAGTACTGCGTTCAAGAGTTATGGCGTGAAACCAAGTCAAAAAGCCATTATGCAAATGAACACAGGCTTACCTCGACCGCATCCGATCGCTCTGTGTATCTTGAAGGCACAAGAAGTTGCAACGAAGGGCGTGTATCGAAATGCACCCAGAGCCCATCTTCCTGTACCATGCATGCACAGTTGGCCGAGGGTTTGTACTTTAGTGCTTTTCATTTTTTATTTACTTGTCTCCTCTCATTTTTATATACTAATATGTTTATCTTAGTAAAAGAGGGACAAGCCCCTAATAATAGCCTTGTAAACATGTGCAAATGATTTAATATGCATGCGTACAAGTTTCATTGCCATTTATGCTGCTGTTAACATGTAGTCTTCATGCAAATCATGTATTTCACATCAATACCGAGTTTATTCTCCATGCATGCTACTGTTAGCGAGTTTGAGGAGTGAAGTAGTAATTTTAAGGAGTGCATAAGGCTATTTGTTGTTCAAACAATATGTGGTCATCATGGAAATGTTGTATTGAACACATTAGAAGGTTAAAAGAGTGAAGATGTAAATTTAAAGAAAGTGCCTGCTGTTTATTGTTGTTTACTAACATGTAATTTTGATCTAATACACATGTGTACCAAGTTTCATTTTCATGCATGCTAATGGAGCAAGTTTTAGAAGTGAAAACAAAAGTGTCTGAGGCTATTTGTTGTTGTTTACACATGTAAATGTCATCGAAACATTATGCCTATTCTCTTCAGGCTATAGATATCTGTTATCTTACAAAGTTTCGCTATTATTTATTATTTGCTTTTTGAGATGCGCAGATACAAGTTGACACCCTCTCCCTTTTACCCCATACACCTATGATCCTAGGTACATGCTATATACTAAATACTACCGTATTTCGTTTGAACATGACAAACGTGACAACACAGTCTCTAAAGCTATTGAACAAGTATAATTGCCTGCATTCCCTTTTTCGTTGTTTTGATGTATTGAAACAGAGCTCATGGCAGGAAAAAGCATTAAAGCAGGTCGAAGTAATCCATATGTAGTGTGTATGTTCCTTAACCTTTACACAGGTTTTTATTGCTGCCTCAGATGTTATATTTCTGTTCAACGAAAAAGGTATTTAACATTTTACATCACTCGTGTAAGGATGTTGCATAAGCAGTGTACCACTGCAACTGTTCTGTTGTAGGAAATTGGGATTTTAGAGTTCCTGGATTTGTTGCCATTGCTCATCCTGCTTCACTCAAGCTGGCAAAAAACCATGGAGTGTTCATACTAGAAGATATGATAAGCCCATGGGGAAAGTATAGATCTGGTATGTACGTACAATTATTCTGCACATGCACACACGTATATACTATGCACAGCATTAACGTTGAATGCCTGGTTTTCTAGTAGCTAGGTATTTTGTACATGCATGCACAAAAAGCGCCACTTTATTGATAGGTTGAGTTCCACCCCACTGTCGCCGGTGATGCTCTAAAACTGGCTAGCAGCATCAGTGACTATCGTTTTGAACAACGCTAGACTGAACACGCGTCCTGCAAGAAGGCTGCCGTGGAACAGGCAAATACTCTGGTAAGTCATTGCTTATTAGCAGCCATTGCTGTTTAGCATATTTGCTTGTTTTCACACCATATCTCTTGAATGCAGTGCGGCCTTATTATGTTCACTTTTTTTTCATGTCATTGTAGCTTGGACGTTGTTTATTGCTCATCGGCTGCCTCGTAGCCTGTAGTGCAAGAAGATACGTCAGACAGACAGACAAACAAGCACACAAACCAAGTACTATAACTCTGCTATAACATGCGCGCCGAGGGTTAATAATGACTCACTGTTAAGGCTTCATGCTTACATTATGATGACACATGAATTATACCTTCAAACATGGTATATGCTGAAGTCCATGCTAACTAGATTTTATACAAAGCCAACCAAGAGCTACTCTATAAACTTGTTGGCATTAAAGTTTTGTATCAATGTGTCCGGAGATACTTCATCTAGCTATACCTAGGGGAATGGGCAAACTTTAATGAAGACATTAGGCAGTCTATTACAATAAAATTACTTTTAGTGTAAAATCAAATCATTGTTGTTTAATTTACAGATCCCTCGTCTCCTGCAATGGTCGCAACACCAAAGTGTTTTTTACATAAACAGACAGCAGAAGTGTTAAAACATAAAGGTGCTGTTATTCCTGATTCGGACTTAGTAAGTATGCCATAGAAGAAAATGTTCTGCTAGATAGTGTATTGTGCCAGTGTATTGTGTCTCAGATTGGGAGAGAGGGGGGAAGAATGTGAAACCGACTTCTGTTGAGAGTCAATTCAGGCATGAAGACTGTGAATGCACTGAGCTATGACTCATGACAAAAGCTAGTTTCCACATTCTTCCTCTAGCTAACAACCAGTGATCATTTCCCACTTTGGCAACTTCGCACTAGTGGCCCACCTAAGGCAGCTTTTCTTTTAGAGTTTTCCTTTGTGTAGTTGAATTTCCTTTTGCCGGATGGCATCGTAGATGTTAATTATCCCAATCTGCTTCTACGTACATAGTATGTGAGAGTTTACTGTGCCATAGCGCATTAATAGTTGATGTTGGACTTTGCCTTGTATTGTATTGTGTTGTAGATTCATACCTACCAACTGTCCCGATCTGATACATCAATCAACTTGCCACCCATCAGTCTCCAGATCAGTGCACTGATTCATCCCGCACCACCAGTTACGCCCATTTTGCACAATATACTCGCAAAAATCAGGAGCGTTCACTCTCTTAGTTAGCAATTGGCAAGCAGTACCATAGTTCATTGCTCTGCACTCGTGTACTATACCTACTGATGCCCATGCTAGCAGAGCCTTCTGCGTATTTTGCAGCCAACCACGAAAATTGTGCATGCGAATAGATGTGGGTCTGCTCCTAAAACGTTGGGATGACCTGCTAGATCTTCCTAAAATGTTGGCAGGTATGTAGATTTGAGCGCTTGCCTGCTGGGCTGGCCTTGTTGCTCAGTGGGTAAGAGCACTCTGCCTATACTGCAGAGTGCCATGGGTTCGAATCTTTTACCACGACAGTTTTTGTTTTTCCTGGACAAACAGACTTGTCTTCAGTGTAGGTGACTAGTGTGCTTTGCCTTTGCCTTGCTGCCTTGTTTATGCTTGCATGTGTGTAATTAGTTTTGAGTTGGGCGTCTTTAGTGGTTTTATTACCCCACTCTTCTCTTACGTACTAAGTAAAAGTTTACCATGCCATAGCACAGTTAGTTGAGGTTTTCCTTTTCCCTTGTGGAGTTAAGCCACTGCCTGCTGAGCTGCCCTTATAGCTCAGTTAGTCAAAGTAGTGAAAGAGTGACAGGATGTTGGGATTAAGTCTAGTACACTATGGTACATACTGGGATGTACCGAACTCTATTGTAGGGTGTCGTGGGTTAGAACTCTACCTAGGGCAGCTCTTCTTTTTCCTTGGGATAATTTTTACCTTTGCCTTGCTGCCTCGTTGAAGTTTGCATGTGCCTAGTGGTAGTTCCTTGTGTGGAACATCACAAATATTTCTTGTTGACCTGGTGATCGGGGGATCGGTTTGAAGAGTTTTTCTTTGTTTTCACATTTTTTCCTTCCTTTCTCCTGACCTGATATAACACTACAAACCAACCACCAGGTCAAGTAAGAAATATTTGTGATTCCAATGCACTAAAAACTTGAAGGTAACAAACCTCTACACCCCTTACAATCTGTTTTCTTAGAGCTTTGTATAGCTTTGGACTCCTGGGCCACTTTACTGAACCTGACTTATGCCTTGATATTAAAATCTCGGCACAGTCCTTGCACACTATGTAGTGCACGAGTGTGAACGATTTAGTGTAAGGATACAGAAGTTTCAAACAAGCACGCCAGTCAAAAGATAGCATTTTTCAGGCCGCCGCATTGGCAGTGTACAAGCCTCTAACGATAGCAGCTGGAACCACAACCCCTTCCAACACGGTTGACGCTGTTGATTGAAAAACAGGAGATGAGCAACTACGTAGCATACTTTGTGAAATAGAAGTGAAGTAGCACTGTTCAGTCAGGAAGAATAGAAAACTGCGGGGATTAATCCACCCAGTCAATGAAACATTAAACATGAAACGAAACACAAACTACAAAATAGTTGAAATGAATTTGTGAATTTTGCACTCACATTCACTCACCAAAGGTTCCATAGCTCCCATGTGATAGTGATTTTTTGTCTGGCCTTTGTGCACTGAGTCATTAGTATAGTAGGGCTAGAGAAGTGATTGTCGCAATAAACTCTACATATTTTTTGGTAAGGATGCCCACATTAGTACGTATATACGTGTCTCAATAATGAACCTTCTCTCCTCTAGGTGTATGTTGATCTTGCATTTTATTTTGATGTACCCACAGCACTTAAACTTATACAGGTAAGCATCGGTTTATTGTGTAGTTTGTTATTAATTTTTAACATAGTTTTATGCAGGTGTAAAGCCATTGAAATGTGAACTTGAGGCTTATGCAGACTTTTTACAGCCACTAGGATCTGCTTCAAGTGTTGATGTATGTATTGGGAGTGTGAAAGAATTCTGATGTGGTTACTAAAGGTAGTTATTGTCCTACTCTTTTCCAGGAAAGGTCATTTACCAACAAGCCAAAACAGAAACAGTTGATCCATAGTTCTGCACATTAATTAGTGAATCAATCTAGCTAATTATTGGCTAGCGTCGTATCCCCAGGCCATTTCCGGGGGAGTAGAAACGGCCTGGGAACCACTGTTGACGCATGCAAACAAAACTCCCGGAAAAATAGTTTGCACATTGTGTTGAGAATGCGGTGTAAGAATCCACAGTAGTACACGGTAGCTGTTACTTCTTACTCTTTTGCTCACTTTCACGTCTCCCTATCTGTAGCCAAAGAATATATGTCTCTATCACTGTATATGTGTAAACCTATTGAACCTATGAACCTCTCATAATTAATTACATTCTGTGGTGATGTATTTACATAGCAACTAGCTATAAAAGTGCTGTACATAGAGCCATTAGGGACTTTTTGCCATGTAAATCCCTATCTCGCTCTGGACGCTCTCCGGCTGCTGGCGCGAGACGTTACATTTTGGGGGCCAGTCCGGGAACCGACGACGCGCCGACTCCGTTAGAGACCTGGAACGAGCTAGCAGAGGAGCGATTATGGAGGCCTTGCGGATAAAGGTCGATAATCTCGAGTGGGAGCTCAACAGTCTACGGACCGAGAACCGTCAATTGCGGGAGGATAATCCACAGGAGAGCGCGACCCTCGACGAGCTAGCAAAGTCCAAGGACGATGCGGCCCACCTACAGGACCGGGTGCGGCAGTTAGAGCAGCAGTTGGCAGAGAAGACGGAGGCAATACGAGGTATGGAAGACAAAGTTGAATGCGCAGAGGCCAGAGCGACGGAGCTGGGCGCCCAAGGGGAGGACGTCAGCGCGGCCAAAGTGGAACTACGGCCGGTGGCCCAAGAACACGAAGAAGAGCTGGAGAGGGCCAGACATGAACTCCTGGAGCTTGCGGAGAGATGCGAGACACAGGAGCAACGAGCGGGGGCGGTGAGGGAAGCCTTGGCGCAGCAGTTGGAGTTGGAGCGCTATCGCACCCTGGAGGAGCAACGCCAGAAGTGGGAGACGCGGGAGCTGCGTCTCTTCACCCGGTTGGCGACCGTCGAGGAGGAGCTGCGCGCTGCTAGAACCGCCGCGACGGATACCACACGAACGAGTGGACAGCTGCGTGAACAGCTGAGCACGCTGCCCAGCGAGCTGAACGCAGTACGGTCTCTGGGGAGCAGTCTCACGGAGGAGAACACTCGTCTACGCAACGAGAACGAGAGACTTGGCCGGGAGAGCCTTCCGGTTCGGTCCCAAGGAGGAGGGGCCCGAGTCAAGGAGGAGCATGGAACCCATGTTGCCCAAGCGACGAATGGAAGGCCCAGGATGGACAGTAGAAATTCTCAACTTTCTCTCCGTGGGAGCTTGATGCCTGCCTGTAGAGAGTCTGGAACAGGCAGTGGAGCATTCAAACAGAGGGACCATCAGCGCGAACCCACATCGGCCGACTGTGGGGTGGTTGGCGAGGGGAAAGGTCAGGGACCGGTGTTGGTGGGGGACGGAGATGGGGGTTGTTACAGGAGCGGTAGTGGAGGATATGAAGTCGCCTCGGTGATAGGGGCAGCATCCACGATTTCCCTCTCGGGGGCCACCGCGCAGCCTAACACTCTAACCACCCCCTCCGCACATCGCCCCCGAACGGTGACCTTCGCCACTTCACGACCGTCCTCTCCACCTGTGACGGGCATGGTGAGTAGGGGTTTTCATGATGCAACGCTGGGGGGTAGTCAGACCCCAAGCCCTATGCCTCCTAGTTACATAAGACCAAGTAGTCAGCCTACTCAGCCTACTCTGCCTACCCAGCTCCCACAGGGAATTGCTGGTGTGGATGTACATGGAGGGGGAGTGCTATACCGCCTATATGGGGTTGGAATAACCTAAGTGTATCAGGGGCAGCTGTCCAGTTACAGAGTAACATAACCAGGCCACAAGTGGCTACACACCTTGTTAGATGCCCTCCATTGTCTTTGCCCTCCTCTGGAGATAACAGACTCTCCGCAGCCAGCTGCCCTACATTGTCTTTCCCCTACTCTGGTTATGGTGGACATAACACACTCTCGGGAACCAGCCGCCTTGCATCCCCCATGGTTTATCATGGAGGCGACACTGTACTAGGGCCTCAAACTGGTGTGCACAGTATGGCCTATGGAGTGACTAACATATCTCCACCAGATCATCCTTTGACTACTGCTATGGTAGCTGACACAGGACCCCCACCAACCAGTAGAATGGGCACACTACGTACGAACTGCGGATCTACGACCACAATGAGTAACAGCGCTGACATACCTACACCTCCGATACCCTATTGCCCGATACCGATGATGGGACAGATTCCCCAAGTTCCTCGCTTCACTGGGGAAGGAAGAGCCACAGGGGATTCGTTTAGTGAGTGGCACGAGCATTTTGAGAACGTGGCCACACTGGCATGTTGGAATGACCATTGGAAACTGGTACATCTCACGTCGAACCTGCGAGACACTGCAATGGCCTTTTATAGGTCATGCAGCCCAGATGTTCGCGGTAACTACTCGGGACTAGTTGCAGCAATGGAGCGTCGTTTCACACCAATACGGCTAACCGCTGTTCAGGCCCAATTATTGCATACACGGCAGCAATAGGAGAAAGAATCGGTGGACCAGTTTGCACAGGAGCTGCGGAAACTACAATTTGGCGTACGCAGGTGCTGCAACTGAAAGACCACAAGCGGAAAGGATGGGACAGACCCTACTGGCGAACCAGTTCATTTCAGGACTGCGGGCGGAGCTCAAACGAAAGCTGATTGGTACAGAGGGGAACATGGAGGAGCTGATTCTGAAAGCCCGATTCGAAGAGGCGAAAACACGGGAATTGATGGGAGAGAAACCCAGGAGTTACCTCCCAGTCAATCTAATCTCTCACCGGTAATGACCCAGCCAACGACGACCACTACCTCATCATCCTCGACCGGAGGGGATTGGTCGTCTAGTGAGGGACAGACTGGGGCTCGGACGAGGGTATGTTTCAACTGTGGAATTGAAGGACACGCGGTGAGGAATTGCCCCTACCCGAAACGAAGTAGAAGAGGAGATGAAACCAGAACATCCCGACCAGCAGGGCTACCCCAGTCTACCATGTCAGCCCTCGTTGAAGCAGAGGACAGCCAGACAAGTGAGGTGGAGCGGCTCAGCAAGCACCTATCTGAATTGGAGGAGAAACTGGACCAAACCAACCGGATACGGACACTCAAAACTGTTGCTGTGGAATCAGGAGGGGAAGACGGACAGCTTGGCCCGAGTGTCACAACGGAGATATATGTCAACAGGGTCCCCACGGAAGCACTGATAGACACGGGATCCCCAGCTACAATTGTCTTCCTCGATTTCGTTCTCGATATCTTTGTGAAGGAGAAGACAGATCGTCAGACCCCAGCCCAATGGAAGGAGGCAACATCGAAGAGGTTCAGCCCACCGACGGTGTTGTTGAAGGCATACAGTGGACACAAACTCAATATACTGTCGCAAGTCGCGCTAACACTCTCACATGGGAACCGGACCACCGACGCTCGTGTCCTAGTGCAAGAGGGAGCACCCACGAAATTCCTCCTTGGTACAGACCTGCAGTCTAAGCTAGGTTTCGCACTCATTGCTGAGATGGGAGATACACGAACAGATCTTCTGACTGGGAAAGCAGGTACACCGGAGATGGACACTCACACCTCAACTGGGACAATTGACCCATCAACAGCCAAGACGGATGCTCCGCTGAGTATACAGCCGGACAAATTCCAAACAGCCGTCTCGGCCACCACATCCCAGGGGGTAATGCCACGGACACTGAAGGGCTCACTGCTGGGTGCTCAGAGTCAAGACACTCACCCTCACCCTCACCTCACCACCCGCGGGAGGCAGTCTCAGGACGGGCAGGATCAGCGTGAACTTCAGCCAGTGGTACGTTCAGCAGACAAACCAGGGGGTGAGGAAGCATCAGCCAGTCAATTCATGGTCGACAAAACAGGAGATAAGACCCAAGAAGGAAGGAAAGAACACACTACCCAGGATGATATCAGGGAAGGTTCGATGCTGGCGGAACAAATTCCCTTGACTCGCACCACTGGATCTACTCTCCCGGCTACCGCAACGGTGGCAGGGATGGAGGGTGCGGACGCCACCGGAGATGTTGGTGCAGCTATGAAGACCACCGTGGGCACAGACTCAGCAGGGGGAGCCCACCAGAACACCAATGCAGAGTCTGTGGTCCTCCACATCGAGCCTACAGGGCACGGAGAGGGGACAGGACCAGAAAGAGAGGGTGTAACCCCGCTTAAAGCCCCAACTGAACAAGACGACCCGGCCGCTGGGGTTGGTATAGTTCGCCTACTGAAGACAACCAAGGTTCCTGCGGGGTATCAGAAAATGGTTCGCACCAAGATTGAAGGGGAAATCAATGATGCACTACTATTGTTTGAGCCCTTACCTGAGAATGATTATTCACTCCCCGATGCTGTGCTAGACAAAACCTATGCTGGGGACCATATACTCGTTGTGCAAAACTCCAGCAACGAACCAGTCTCCAAACTTACACTATCCTTGGCAAGGTAACTGCAGGTGGTAACCACAGCATCCAAGAGATCAAAGGCCGATCGGCAGAAACCCTACATGGCCGAGACCCGAGTGTGCACCATTGGGCCAGAGGAGAAGGACAGAAGGCAGCGGTTACTGGAGCAGTTAAATCTGGAACTTGGACACCTGAGTCCAACCGAGCGACGTGAACTGATTATGTCTCACTCTCATACCTTCGCGGTGGACGCCAGTGAGCTGGGGACGACCAACTACGCGGAACACATCATAGGAACTGGTGATCAACATCCCATCCGGCAGGCAGCACGACGGATGCCCTTCGCCCTGCGCGCTCAAGTAGACGAACTTCTTACAGAGATGC